AAACACTATCTGTGGTTGGTACTGTGTACTAAGGAGTTAAGCTTTAGCAGTACCAGGCCAGGGCCGAGTCCCTCCAGGGGAAGGGGCTATTGTGTCCCTTACGCTGTTGTTGTTCAGGGGAGTGGTCTGCCTGAGCATGATGGCTGCAGCCATGTGGGGGATGAGTCAGCACCAGGATCCCCCTGGCTACTCTCTTAATTCTCTCCCCAAACCGTCCTTCCGCAGTCTCTCCTCAGGTTGTCTCTAGCACACTTTGCCGCGATCTTTGCCAGAGACCAATGTAAGTTGCTGAAAATTAAAACTTATGTGTTGGCCTATTAAATGGTCTTTGTGTCTCCAGCTGCCTGCCTCTGGCAGAGACCAACCCTGCCACTTTTCACAGGTGGCTGTTATCTGTGTACTTTTGGGGCTCTGGTGGTTTAGGCTGGGGATCCCCACCAATGGTTAAGTGTCTGCTCTTCTCAGGGGGATCCAAGTAGCCGTATCAATATCTCTCCAGTGCTGCAACCTTGGGCACTGTGTCCACCTTCTCGACTCTCTATGCACTCCTTACCAGTTAGGTGGCGCCAAAGCTGATTTTTCTGCCTCCGAGATTATAAGGCTCCTCTCTCGCTATTGTTGTTTGTTCCAGGTGATTTCTCCACAATTTAGCTGTAATTCCAGATTGGTACTGGGAGGAGGTCAGTGTGACTTTCACTCACTCCTCTTCCGTCTTCATTCTCCAAATTATGCAATATTATTTTCATAAAGGGAAAAACATAACTGCACACAGGAAAAGATTTGTGCAGTGTGTGGAGTAGGTGCTGCACTGATCAAACATGTCAAAAGTGGTTTGCAAAGCTTCATGCTTGAGATTTCCCCGTGGACAATGCTCCACAGTCGGGTCGGCCAGTGGAAGTTGATAACGATCAAAGAGAGACATTAAGAGAACGATCTACACTACAGCATGGCCGTGAGAACCGAGGTACTCAAAATATCCAAATAAAGCATGTAAAGTCATTAGCATCAGCGTGGTTGTGTTCATTGCTTTGATGTTTTAGTTGCACATAAATTATATGAAAAAAATCTTCTTGGCTCTATTTCCACATGTGATTTCCTCCTTGAAAGTATGAAAACATCCCATTTATAAAACAAATGGTGATGGATGATGAAAAGTGGAAACGTTACAATAATGTGTAATGGAAGAGATCATGGGGCTATCATGATAAGCCACTCACCATACCAAAGGCCAGTCTACATGTATAGAAGATGTGCTGTGTATATGGTGGGATTAGAAGGGAATCCTCTGTTGTGAGCTGCTTCTAGAATACCAAACAATTAATTCCAACAAGTACTGCTGTTCCTAGTTAGACCAACTGAAAGTAGCACTTAATGAAATGCCTCCACCATTAGTCAATAGAGAACACATAATCTTCCATCAAGATCATGGAAGACCACATGTTTCTTTGATGACCGGGCAGAAACTTTACAGCTTGGCTGGGAAGTTGTGATTCATTTGTTGTATTCACCAGACATTGCACTTTCGGATTTCTATTTATTTCAGCATTTACAAAAATCTCCTCATGGAAAAAAAAATTTAATTCCCTAGAGGAGTACAAAAGGCACTTGGAACAGTTCTTTGCTCAAAAAGATAAAAGGTTTTGGGGAGATGGAATTATGAAGTTGCCTGAAAATGGCAAAATGTAGTGGAAGAAAATGGAAAATGCATAACTCAGTAAAGGTATTGGTGACTAGTACTGAGAATCAAGATGTCAGAGGAGTGAGTGAAAGTCACACTGTCCTCCTCCCAGTCTCTGGAATTACAGCTAAATTGTGGAGAAGTCACCAGGAACAAACAACTGAACAGCAGTCAGAGTGGAGGCTTGTAACCTCGGAGACAGAAGAATTGGCTTCAGCGTAATCCAACTGGTAGGGAGTGCAGAACAGACTCAAGAAGGCGGATGGGGCACCCACGGGTGGCCGCAGCAGAAGGATATTGAAACGTCCAGATGGATCCCCTTGAGAAGAGCGGGGTCTCAACCAAAAGTGGGGATCTCTAGCCCACAGCACCAGAGCCCCAAAAGTACAGAGAAAACAGGCAGCTGCGAAAAGCGGCAGGGTTGCTCTCTGCCAGAGACAGGTGACAGAAGACGCAAAGAACTGTTTAAGGGGCCAACGCATAAATTTTTATTTGCAGCCACTTACCCTGCAAAGGCAGGGGAGAGTGGGCTAGAGATGCCTGAGGAGAGACTGTGGCAAACGGAGGGGAGAGTGAGTTAGAGATGCCTGAGGAGAGACTGTGGAAGGAGGCTTTGGGGAGAGAATGGAGAGAGTAGCTCGCAGCATCCCAGTGCAGACCTGTCCTCCGTAAGGAACCAGCATGAGACGACCCAATAACTTGGCCCCCAGGAGAGACTCCACCCTGCCCTACGCAGTCTAATATGGTCTGCTGAGTGCAGAGTGACTAGATTAATAGCTAAAAGAGACAGCCCCAACAGTAGATTACTGGAAGTCTCAAACTGTCTGCCTAAGGTCAGGCAGGGTCAATATCTGACATCATCAGGGGCAGATCCAGAAAGCAAAAACAGTGCTCTCCAACCAAAGAAGTTCACACCACAAAGTCAGGAAATCAAGACAGATCAACTTAAGAATCAGAGGCAAAGAGAAGAGTCTTACAAATAACGGGAAGACAAAGAAATGGGAAGACAAGTCCAGGAAGCACAGAGGGTCGCATTCAAGAGGAATGCTCTGAGGCCCACTGCAAGACATATCATCATTAAAACGGCCAATATCAAAGACAAGCAGAGAATCGTAAAGGAAGCAAGGGAGAAATAGGAAGTAACATCCCATAAAAGAGAGCCCAGATACGGCTAGCAGCTGACTTCTCAATAGAAACTCTGCAAGCCAGAAGGGCATGGCAAGAAATATTCCAAGTAAAGAAAAGCAACAGTCTGTGACCAAGACTGTTCTACCCAGCAAGGCTCTCAATTAAAATGGAAGGTGAAAGAAGGAGTTTCCCAGACAAAAGAAGGCTAAAAGAGTACACCTCCACGAAACCAGCATTGCAAAATATGCTAAAGGGACTGCTTTAAGGTGAAGAGAAATGTTCTACGAATACCCAGTTCCTTTCAGAGTTGCCAATACTTGATATTTCCAATATTTTTAATACTCATTAATCTGATTGTGATGATGATTTATTTAATTGTTCCTTTACTATTTGTTAAAACTAAACCTGTTTTTGTATATTTCTTGCCTATTTCTATTATTTTTAAGAAAGCTTTAAATGACTTTTTGGTATTCTTTATGCATTTATTGATTAAAGGTTTGTAGAAGTCTTTTCCCTAAAAAATCAAAAAACAAAAAAATCCCCAATTAACCTTGCTTTAGATGTGTTGCAAATACCTATTCTATTCCTTGCCCTTTAACTTTTTTATATGTATATTACTATATAGTTAAATGTTTAATATAGTCATATTGCCAATAGTTACTTTGTAGCTTTAGGATTTGAGTATTTTACTTCAGGTGATGACAAATATTTGTTCTATTTTCTTCTAAAACTCCTTAGTTTCTACATATTGATTTTTAACTTGTCTGAATATTTCTTGTATAATGTGTGAAATAGGGCTCTATGTTTGTTTTATTTCAAGCAATAATAGTCCTTGTACCTTATTTGCTGAATAAGCCTTATTACCCCTCGATTTGAAATATCAACTTAATCATATATTACATTGTTAGACAGATATATACATGTGTCTCTAGAAAGCTCATTATATTTCACTGATCCACTTGAGTATTTCTGTCCTGGTGTCATGTTGGTTTAATTGCTGAGACTTTATAATGATTTTAAATTTTTTAAATTTATTTTAATAAATAAAAGTTATTTAAAATTAACTTTGACATTTAAAAGAATAAATAAAATCAATCAGCATTTAAGAAAGAAAGAAAGAGAGCAAGAATGAGATAGAACTCCTACCTTTTGTCAGAACATGATGGAACTGGAGAATATTAAGCTAAGTGAAATAAGCCAGTTGATGAAAGACAAATATCATATGATATCAACTGTAAGTGGACTCCATTATAACAAAATTAATGAACAAAATAAACAACAGGCATAGAAACATGGAGCAGACAGAAAGTGACCAGAGGGGATAGGGTAAGAGGACAATGATAGAAAGAAGGGGAAGGGACTAGACAAAGAACATGTTTGAAAGACCCATGGACATGGACAACAGAGTGGGAATTGCATGGGGGAGCAGGGTGTGCGGGTGGGTGAGTGGAGGTGGTTAAAGGGGTGTAAACTGAGATATCTGTAATAGAATAAACATGATTTATAAATTTTAAAATGTAAAAATAAAAATTAAATATAATTATTGGTAAAAAAGAAAAATATGCCTTTGATTTTTACTTTAAAGCAAAAAGAACTTTTTGGCCAATCCAATCGTTCACTGGCTTAAGGTCCACCCTTCAGTAAATTTTCAGATGTTTCTTTTATTATTTATTTATGTTAATTTTTATTTTTTTTCAAATACATTTGTTTCTGCCTTCCCACCACCACTTTCCCCTGCCTCCCCTCCAAGTTCCTCCCCTCAATCCTTCATGGATTTGTGTTTGTCCATGGGTCCTTTATACATGTTCCTCACTTGACCCTTCCCTTCCCTTTCCCTGCCCCCAGATGTTTAAATAGATGAATTGTGAGGACTTAGTGAAAGGATATGCAATCATTAGAAACCACAAATTATAATTTCCTGAGTCTGAGATAGAGACACTCTATTGTGAAAGAGTCCTTCAGGTAATATGGCAAAATAGTTCAGTTTTTAAATGAAACTAAAATATACAAGAGGAAGCAGTTCTTCTAGGACCCTACAATTTAAACATTTCCATAATATTTGTGAGAATGCAAGGTTGATTTATCACTTTATTTCATTATTTTACTTATATAAGACTGAATATTTATGCAAACTCACCTTCCAAGGCACTAAGAAAATTGGAATTTCATATTACCAAGTAAAAACATAACTTACCTAGTACTTCACTATAAAACTGATCCCAGTTCTCAGAAAACATTTGAAAGCAGAAGTCAAAATAAAGCACATACACCATATTTTTTACCCTCTCTATGAACGTCATTTGATCACTTAATTCTGAGATCATAATAGGTACATAGGATGGAGGGAATGGAAGTCCTCCGCTCCGCTTTTCAACTACATAGCCAGGATAGAAGCGGAGACTGTACACAAGAGGTACTTGAAGTAGCTCAGCCAGCAGCTCACCGCAGGGCCCCACAGCATCTGCAAGAAGGACATCAAACCTTGATTCTTGTAGTTTTGTCATAAGATTCCTGTTCAAAACCGCATCTTTACAGAGCTTTAGTATAAACTCACTACATTCCAAAAAGATTTCTTGAATTAGTGAAAAGTAAGTCCAAAATGTATCTTTAGGCAGATGTGACATTTTGAAGATCAGGTTCATGAAAAGATTCTCAAAGTCATCTTTTGTTGAGGATGTGGGATAAATCTCAAATTTAAAAGCAGATGGTTTATTGGGATCAACAAGAATTGAAGCTGTAGATGTCAGGACAATCACTTCATGACCTCTCTGGACCAGTTCTTCCAGGATTATCTTCATATTCATCCAATGGCTGTATTCTGTGGGCCACACGAGCACCTTTCCACAATGCCCAGGGCTGAACTGAAAACTCAGCTGTAGCAGCAGCAGAACAGGAATCCACTTCATAGACATCCTGCAGGAACACAAGGCTTCTTTCTAAATTGATGACTCCTTCTGTCATTGCTCATTTTTCTCCAAGGAGAAATCAATCAGGAAGTTAAAATATCACTCCTGCACCTCAAAGTAAATACATTATACAAACAGAACATTTAGCTGGCAGTGGAAGGTGTTAACTTAGATGACCTTGTTTGTAAACAAGTGGGTTTAATATCTGTTCTATGATAGTAAGTGCTACCAATGGCCTTGTATGTCCAAGTATGTCTTATTTCTACTTGAAAGCTCCTGTTCAGTAGAAAAGGAAAGGGTATAACCAGAAATAAGAAAATATAAGGAAGGAAAAAAATCAGAGGTATATTTAAGAAATACAGCATATCAGACAATTAAAAACCCAGTATGAAGGAAAAAGAAAAAACTGTATGTAACCTAACTCAAAATTCAATAAGTAGTTATGGGATACACAACACAAAAATATCTACAACATGACATCAGTAACATAAAATGTGGAGGGGAGAGCAAAAGGATAATTCTTATGGAATATACTTAAACCTAAATGGACATCAGCTTAAAATAGATTGCTATAGATATAGAAGGATATACATAAACTTTATGATGGCTACAAAACAAAACCCTCAGAAAGATATACAAAGAACCAAGAGAAAGGAATACATACAAAGTAATACAGAAAAGCAACAAACCACAAAGGAAGTGTTTATGAGATGAAAATAACAGAGGATTACTATAAGAACAACAACAAAATGATTAACAAAAAGGCAACAGATACACAGCTATAAATGATTACTTTAAAAAAATGTATTCTCTAGAAATCTATGTGGAAGGTTGGTGGGATTTCTTTTTAAGGCATGCGTAAATATTGACTGGTGAAGGCATCTGAGCTGGGAGTTTTCTTCGTTAGTAGTTCTAGTAGTTTTAATGAGGACCCAGTGAAAAGCTTTCAGAGTTTTTCAGAAAGCTTCAATTTCTTTAATGGTTATATATTGTTTGGCAATTCAAAATTTCTTTTTCTACTTATTCAGGTGACACTTTGTATAAATTGTGTTTATACTAATTTTTTCATATATATGGTTTTGTTTATAGAGTTGCACCTAATACAGTGTTAAGAAAAATTTTAACACCTGATGGCTCTGTTATTTCTTTATTATTTCTCATATTGGTAATTTGTACCGCTCTATTTCTTTCTTGCCCCAATTTGCCAGGAGATTGTTTATTCATTTATTTGTCCCAGTCAGACATAGTTTTTGGACTCATTGCTCATCTTCACTGTGTTTGTAATATAGTAATTCATTTCCCTATTAACATTAATTCCTTCTACTTTGGTTAAATTTGCTGTTTTTTCCTAAGATCTTGAAATGTAAGCTTACTTCACAGTGTATTAGACTTTTTACTTTTTCAATACGTGTGCATTTCAAGTTCTAAATTTTCTTTGAAGTATAGCACAAACCTGGATCCATTTAATTTTATTATCATCAATTAGATGTTCAAAATTTCTATTATGATATCTTCATTGACTTTGACTTATTTAGAAAAACATTACTTAATTTTTCAAATTTGCTGAGTCTTGGTTTATGGGCAGCCATGTGATCAATTGTGGTATTTTATTACATATGCTTTTGGTCTACAGTCGTACCACCATGAATGCGCCTGATCTCGTCTGATCTCGGAAGCTAAGCAGGGACGGGCCTGGTTAGTACTCGATGGGAGACATACGCTTTTGAATAATGTGCATTCACTAATGTGAATAATGTGTTACCCATCTATCAATTCATCTACCAAGTATCAATCTATCTTGCCTAAGGGTACGAAGGGACATGGAGAGGGAATTCTAAGGGTTATGACATTTCTATGCACAAATATCCTAAATTTAAATTATGAGGATGTGGTGAGAGTTTCATAACTCTGTAATAACATGTCTGTAAACACTAAATATGTTGAATATTTATACCCTAAAGAGATGAAGTTTTAGTAAATTCTATCTCACTGGATACTCTATTAAAATGATATTAATGAAAAATAATTTTTTAACAAAGATATTTTTAATAGTTTTGGAAATTTTAAATATTGAAAGTATTTTTGTGGCATTGCTTTCACGTTCATCAGTCTTTCTGTGCATTTAGTCATCTGTTAAAAAGTTTTGTTTTTTATAACAGGCAGTGTATAGCTTAAAATTTTTTTGCATAGAAAATTGTTGTACTAGTTGGTCACCTATTAAATCTGTGGGATTAAAATGCCACTTTGAAGTAACTGGTTGAATGTAAAAGGGAGTTTTAGGTTGATTATATCATTTTTATTATTTCAAAGTTAGCTTCATAATAAGAAGACCAAACTCACAACCACTATTCCAAAGAGAACTCACCTATAATTACTACCTAGCAAAAATAAAGTTATATTCCTGAAGAGTTATTAATGAAAGTCTTCAGTGGGAAAATCTACACTTGACATTGTGTTCAATTCCAATCCAGCAGCCGGTCCCTTGGCCTCCATGTAAGCAATGCCATCAGGGTCTCCATGTAAGCAATGCCTTCAGGGTGATTCACTGTGAAAATTCCATAGTAAATGGTTTCATATATGCCATTGCCACCACCACGGGTGATGAAAAGTTTTGTTTTGGGGTGACCTCCAAAGAGGTCAATGAAAGCAAGGAATCAAGCATCCCATTGTGAAAAATAGAAATAGACAGTAGAAATCAATAAAGAAGGCAATGTTTTCTGCCTAGTATTTCTATGCTCATGAGATCATATGAACATTTGTGGCTTTCAAAAGTAAGTCTCCTTGAGGAAATGAGAGAAAGCTTTATAGAAGAGGTGATGTTGGCGTATAGTTGTTTTGTCCAGGAGAGAAGTGTGGGAGCGAAGAGTACATCCAGATTCAAAGAGCACCATGCTCAAAAAATGGAGATGAAGAAATGTTTTCTCTTAAGAATATAGAGAGTATTCACTCCGCTACTATAGAGAGTACCTCACGGGATTTCGGAAATAATGGAAAACTGATAGGTGTATTGAGACAAAATATTTTGTTTCAATTCTATTGCATACATTTATTTTGCAGGCAATATGAGCCACTGCAAGTTCAAAAACAGTAGTGGTGTCTTTCTTTCTCATCTTAGAAGAAAGCACTGTAACAACAGTGAGAAATAGATCTGAGACAGAAGAGCGTGGACCGAAGGAGACAAATCAAGAAGCTATGGAACGTTTACAGGTGAGCACAATTAGCACCAAAGGTCGATGTTTTCAAAATCAAACATTTGATTACATTGCTGTACCGGAATTTTTCCTCAGACTTTTTTTGTAATCAGAATCTTATTATTTATTTGCCACAATCTCACCAAGATTATTCTGTGAGAACTACTCAAGGAGCTGAGTATTGGGTCTTAACATATCTGGTTGCTTTCTATTGAATCTCCATAGAATCTGTCATGAGTAAAAGAGTGCTCTTCTTCATGAAGAACATTAAAAAAGAAAGAAAAAAGAAAAAGAAACACTGAAAAGGAGTCCTCTTGCCCAGCTTCTTCCAACAACAGATTGGACAGATTGGGCATTTCTGTCAAGCAATGTTAAATAATGAGTGCTATTGAACAGTTTAAAAAAAATCAAACTACCAAAAAATGGAGGTACTTGTTTGTCAACTATTTTTTTTTGCAGAGTATACTACAACATGCTATTATTAGTTCTAAAGAGTTGAGAAAAATTAGTTTGTAAATGACACATTTTAATAGTTAAAATCTTCAGGAACCAATCAGAACTAGAGTAAACACAAAGTTAACAGAAATTTTTGCAATTCTATTTCATGCAACTATCTCACATAATACACTTGTAGTTTTAATTTAGAAAAGCTTCTGCTTGCTTGGCACTTTCTGGGAAGAATAGGTGAGAATTTGCTTGTTCACACTCTCCATAAAACATTTTGACAGAAATTTATATCTTTTTTATATTGTCAGCAATATTATCCTCCTACTTGGAACAAAGGGAGAAAGTGTCTTCTTACAGAGGACTACAAATTATTTTAAATTACATATAATCTTTAAAAAGTCTTCAATAAAGCCCTGTTTATATTCAATAGTATATCAGCTTTAGGTGTAGAGCATAATAGTTGGACATTTTTATTCTTACAGTGGGTCCACACTAAGTCTAGTAGCAACCAGTTACTCTGCGAAGTTCTTATAATATTATTGACTGAATACCCCGTGCTCTATACTACATCTCTGTGGCTTACTTATTTCATATCTGGAACTTTGTACCTACTTTTCTCCGTCCCCTTTTTTACCCATTCCTGAATTCCCTTTCTCTCTGGCAAACGTAGATTGTTCTCTGTTTCTTTGAGTCAGTTTCTTGTTGTTGATGTTGTTTTTTGTTTTTAATTTCACATATAAGCAAAATAATACGGTATTTATCTTCCTCTCTCTGATTTCTTTCACCTGGCATGATACCCTCTGGGTCCATGTTGCAAATGACAATATTTAATTCTTTTTTAAATGCTGAATACCTAAAAGCTTTTAAGTAGAACTTTCCCAAGACATTATCTCAGTCTTTTTCCCCTGAAGGCATTAATAGTACAATAGTATTCATGTGCAATTTTACATGTTTTTATATACAGCTAGGAACTGCAGATCGATAATATTACAAGTGATAAAATTTTTAAAAATTAACAATGCCATATGAATTTTTAGTGACCAAAGTATTCTACAATAGACAAATTACCTGTTTGTGCTATTAAGAGATCTAGGTTCATTTTATTAAACAGAAAATACTAAATTTTGGAATGCTTCATGTATCCAAGATGCTGGAGCCAGCCCTAAGTATCAAACCCATGTTTGTGTGTTGCGCAGGAAATCCTTTGTTGAATTATAGCTGTTCCATGTATTGTTACTTCAAGGGAAGTGGCCAGTAGGCCTTCTCATGCTGCCTTGCTTCTGATGTCACTCTCGAGAAATTGTCTTGTAAAGGGCCAACGGTCTCCCACACCACAAGAAGGTCTACAGCATGAAGAATGTGGATTGTTTACTCTCGTATCCGTCTGGCGTCCAGGTGCACTTAGCCAGTCATC